TTTGTCCGGAAGGCAGTCCTGATGCTCCAGCTGGGACCCTCCTGGGGCGCCTCCTGCCCCCTGAGAGAGCAGATGGGCCTCCCTGTGCTCGCACCTGTGCCTGCCACCCCCGCCCCACCCCAGGGCCCGGCCCAGCGGCTCTCCCCTCTCGCTCTGGGGCCCTGGTGCTCACAGGCCCTCAGCATCCCGGGCAGGGGAATAGGTGACAGGTGTCAGGAGGCCCCTTCGCCGGGACCCGCTGGGCCCCTCAGTGGCTGTGGGTGCCCCTCCTGACTTCTCGGTCCTGAGGCAGATGCCCAGGGAACGCGAGGGCCGAAGACCAATGTTCCCGCAGGGCCCTGGGGAGCTGGGACCCGCTCCCCAGCCTGGCGGGGTCCTGCGTGAGGAGGAGGGGCATGGCCGCGGTGGCTGGTGTGGGCAGAGGGTCCCCCCTGAGACACTGAAGGACACGCTGTCTGCCCGCCCAGGGCTCCAAGCGCATCCTGCGGTCCCACGAGATCGTGCTGCCCCCCAGTGGACAAGTGGAGACGGACCTGGCACTGACCTTCTCGCTGCAGGTGGGCCTCCAGGTGGCTGGAGTGTGGGGAGGCTGCAGGCCGTTCCAGGGGGGGGCGGGGGGGCTGGACGGTCGTTCCCGTTTGGAGCAGACGGGGAGGAGCACCTGGGAGCTCAGGGTGCGAGTGCAGACCCTTTGCCCTGGGCCATGCATGTGGCTCGGCTCACCCCGACACCCCAGAGGAAACAGACGCCCCTGGACTCTGTGGAGTCCTGACCGGCCCGACCTGGCCCACAGGGCAGGGTCCCATTGAGCCCCCTTCCCGCCAGTCCAGCTCGCGTCCACTGCAGCTCCTCTCACTGCGTGACGGAGACAGGGAGACCCCAAGAGCCACCTCCCAGCCTGGCCTGGCTCTGCCGGGCGGCCGCGGACCCCGCTCTGACGCCCACGGCACATCTGGGTTCTGTGTTGCTGTTCTCTGGGGGAGGGGCAGGTTTGTTGGAGTGTAATTTACAAAGTGTACACTTCATCCTTTTTTAAAAAATACACGCACAGCCCTGGCCAGTGGTGCTCATTGGGTAAAGCGCCAGCCCACACACCAAAGGGTTGCAGGTTCGATTCCTGGTCAAGGGCTTGTACCTGGGTTGTGGGTTCTCTCCCCGTCCCCGGTTGGGACTCCTGCAGGAGGCGACCAGTCGATGTGTCTCTTAGTCGATGTTTCTCTCTCTCTCTTCCCCTCCCTCCTTTCCACTCTCTCTAAAAAGCAGTAGAGCCATAGCTGGTGTGGCTTAGTGGGTAGAGCATTGGCCTGCGGACTGAAGGGTCCCGGGTTCGATTCCGTCACGGGCAGATGCGCGGGTTGCGGGCTCGGTCCTCAGAAGGGGGCGTGCAGGAGGCAGCCAATCAATGATTCTCATCATCGATGTTTCTCTATCCCTCTCTCTTCCTCTCTGAAATCAGTAAGAAAATATTTTTTTAAAGCAGTGAAACACATCTTTGGGTGAAGATCAACAACAACAAATAAAAGGGCACGGAGTGAGCACACGGAGTCAGGGCGGGACAGCCCCTGCCGCTGCGGGTTTAAAATACATTTTATTGATCTCGGAGAGGAGGGGAGAGGGAGAGAGAGGGGAACATCCATGATGAGAGAGAATCATGGACCGGCTGCCTCCCGCACGCCCTGTGCTGGGGATGGAGCCCGCAGCCTGGGCGCGTGCGGAACTGAATCTGGGACCCTCAGTCCGCAGGCCGACCCCACCCGGCCACGCAGTGCTTTCTTCGTTACCCAAGGACGTGCTTTTATAAATTGATCTTTCGAGAGAGGAAGGGAGAGGGAGAGAGCGCAGGAAGCATTGGTGTGAGAGCGAGACGACGACTGCTGCCTCCCGCACGGGCCTGGCGGGGCGGAACCTGCAGCCTGGGATGTGTCCTGACCAGAATCGAACCCGAGACCAGTCTTTGCAATGAGACACTCCAACCGCCTGAGCCCGCCCTTCCCCGTCAGGGCCATCCCCGCTTTTGAGATTGGTTTCATTTGTGAGCTTTCATGAGGCCTGTGAGCGTTTTCCTGACACACGTGCTCTGGGGTCCTGAACCCCACCCGCTGCAGCACGTGGGGGCCCGGGACGCCCGGCCGCCTGCATTGGGGGAGGTGCTGGTGGCGGCCCCGATGCCCCCAGCAGCCGCACATCTGCCCGCTAGTAGCTGTTCCTAGTGTCGGGGTGAGCCGCAGTGACCTTCACGCGACCCCATGACCTGGGGGGCATGAGCCCTGGCAGGTGGGGGTGTGGACCGCAGCGTGGCCCCTCCCCACAGTACCCCCACTTCCTGAAGAGGGAAGGCAACAAGCTGCAGATCATGCTGCAGCGGAGGAAGCGCTACAAGAACCGGACCATCCTGGGCTACAAGGCAGTGACCTTCACGCGACCCCATGACCTGGGGGGCATGAGCCCTGGCAGGTGGGGGTGTGGACCGCAGCGTGGCCCCTCCCCACAGTACCCCCACTTCCTGAAGAGGGAAGGCAACAAGCTGCAGATCATGCTGCAGCGGAGGAAGCGCTACAAGAACCGGACCATCCTGGGCTACAAGACGCTGGCCGCGGTCTCCTGGCCACCGAGGGATGTGCACTTGCAACCTCCCTTCTCGTGTGTGGGTGGGTCTTGGAGAGCCTCAGGCAGGTAAGGAGCCTGTTGTGCTGCCCTCCGTGGCTGAGTTGGGG